TCCTCGGTCTCCTTCCAATTTATTCCTTTTAGCATCAAGATCAGCTGGTGCGCAGTCGTTCGTTTTTTCCGTTGTTTTTAACGGAGCGGCATTAGCCAGGTAGATGCCTATGGCTTCAGGGCTCGCGTCGCGCCACTGTGTTTTCTGCGCATGCGCGGCCGCCGCAGAAGTGGATGGCCCGTCGCTATCCTCCTGGATTGATTCCATGACTTCCTCTTTGAACGACCCGAAATCAACTGGTGCGCAGTGGTTCGTTTCTGCCTTTGTTTTTGACGGGGCTGCATTAGCCAGGTCGATGCCTACAGCTTCAGGGCTCGCGTCGCGCCGCTGTTTTTTCAGCGCATGCGCGGCCGTCGCAGAAGTGGACGGTCCGTCGTTATCCTCCTGGATTGGTTCCATGACTTCCTCTTTGAACGACCCGAAATCAGCTTGAGCGGAGTCGTTCGTTTCTGCCTTTGTTTTTAACGGGGCGGCATCAGCCAGGTCGATGCCTACGGTTTCAGGGCTCTCTTCGAGCCGTCGTTTTTTCTGCATCAACTCGGCGTTCTGCAATACCTCAACAGCCCGCCAATATTGAAGTTCTCGCGCATACCATAGGTATGCGTCAGTTTTCATTGAGGCGGACAATCCTTTATCCAGTCGTTCCAGACGGTTCCTGATTGCTCTTAATGTGCTTTTTACTTTTTCCGCGGACACTTGCTCCTCCATCTCCTGGCTTACTTTTTCGGCCAGTTCCTCGAACAGGCCGAATTGTGGACCCCGCGGACGCCACAACTTCGGGTAGTCCCATAGAAGTCGTGAGAGGACACAATGGAATTTTTCATTGAAAACAGACATATTTAAATCTAAACATATACGAGTGACATAAAATTAAATATAAATATGGTATTTATTATTGTTATTAAGTTAAATATAAATAGTTTGGTTTTAAGTACATACACTTTCATTCAATATTTTATTCTTTCTTTGGACATACATGTTTGGGTGAATTTGCACTCATTAACATAGCATTGTTCATTCACTTGTATTTGCATAACCATGTTTCTTTGTTTTTCTGTTTTGCTAGAATTCGACCTCAGACAACAATATCGCAAGTTACATAATCCAGACCTTAAAGTGTGCAGTCGTTGTTTACATTAATTCGCTTATGTTACATTTTTGTGACACACTTCGAGCTGTTCATATTTCTGAAGTACACAAATGCAAAAATACAAATGTATCAATTTATATATTCGTTCATTGTAAAATAATTCTAGGTTAATTTATAAAAATTATTATCTATATATGATGAACCACTTGGTCGACTTATACCAATTAAATTGGAAACAATTGCAAAGATCGGTTATTGAGATTCTCAATGCCTGACGGGTAGCAAGTAAAGGAACGGAAAATAAATTATGCTTACGTGTTCCGCTCTATATATAAAAAAAGATTTTCTCGAAAATTAACAAGTACTGGAAAATTCTTGCAAGAGGTAACGAGCCGCCTTTACTCACTAAAAAGACAAATAGACGATGTATTAGAAAATCAATTCAAACTATTGCGCAAAATACAATCAATTAATCTCAACTCGTGAATGAAAAACTGTTTTCAAACTTTTCTTTTGATAAAAGAAATCATAAAATATAAAACCAGTCTAAAAAACGTTCACACTTGTATCTATATATATAGAGATATATATGTACGTATGTAGATAAACATAAATAATGACAAATGTATCGTATACGTATTTACCCCCGCAGGTGATAAGCCACATATTTGGGAGTTGTGCAACAAGAAATTTGCTTTAGCCTGCAATCTACGAGCACATCTGAAAACACACGAAGGTAAATTGATATGCAATATTCGGCTTTTCAGTGTAATATATTTAATTTTGTATTTCTCAAAATTTTGGGAGAGCAGCAGGATGAATGTGTCCGGTGCCGTAAATTATACCTTGCCGCCGTAAATGCTAAACATAAGAGAATTTATTTGAGATGCTTTGAACCAAATAAGTTAATCGATGTAACAAAAACAGGTTTTCAATATGACGTAGAGTTGGCTACCGAAGACGATTTATCAAATGATAGTAACCAACTTAGTGAGCCATCAAACCCATGAGACAATGTGCGTTACCAATTTATATATTACAGTTTTACAATAAAGACGATAAACTTACTATCTGGTGTAAATGGATGTACATTAGCTGCCTACGGTTGCATGACGATGTCTAGAGCTCTGTTGTTGCAATGGTAACGGGCGTGGACTCTCTGAGGTTTTCAAAACAAAGCATTTCTTGCTTTTTCGTAGACTCGGCCGCCGCAACTGCAGATAAATGATTTACTGACGAATTTTCCCAAATACTTTTTGGGGTAGCTGGTGTGTCAAAAAGACGTAACGTTTACACAAATATTGTTTCTAGGAGGCTTAGTTTTCACGAAAATATTTATGTGTGCGGAAAGTTATGCAAAAAGCGATCTATGTACTTTAATACCTCAAACACGTACAAGATAGTAATGGTAATCCTTCCGCGACGGAAAAAATGTATTGATGAAAAAGGTGTATTATTTATCTTTGTACTTTTTTATGATCCCAAAGGAGCTCTAAAACGTAATACTATTTTTATTATACTTTATTTTTTTTGGTTTGTTTGCAAATGGATTGGATCACTTACATTAAAATTAGATCCATAATCTTCATTAGAGCCATTGATGATGGTTTTGAACTTAGGTACAGACTGATGTAACAGGATGTTACCTATGAGAAGCTCTGTTCTGCTTGGCTTACGGGGACTTTCTGTTTTCGAAATTAATTCATGGAATTCATCGTTAATATCTTCTTTATTTTCCACTACTGGTAATTTCTTTGGATATTCACCCGTGTCGGTGTCTTCTTCGTTAGAAACTAATTTTCCATGCTGGCCGTTAAGGACCACTTGGGTTTCGCATGCAGTACACCACGATATTTCAAATAACTGAAAATCTTCGTCAGGCTGTAAAAAAAAGAAGGATGTTATAAATATTCTTACTTCGCATTTCACTTTTTTCGGAAACAAACCTTCTGCTGCTGGCTGCCGCGCTTCTTAAACACTTCAACGTTTGGGTGGCAAGCGTATTTAATTTATACGTTTTGATGCGGTGGTCATTACAATTCGTAAAAGGGCTCTTCCTTTCCTTCTACATTATGGTAATTCTTGACGGTATTTCATGTTATTGTAAACATCGATGTCAAGAAATATCGTTTGTTTTAATGCTATATAACCAATTATAGAAATGAAGAAAGTTAAAAGGAATTCCGGCATTTTTAATTATGACGCTGTGTTGCCATATTCGTAAAAACTTTAGCTCTAACATGCGCTGATATATCGTTAATGTGCATTAGTAAATTTTTGTAATGGGCATTGCATTAAATTATATAATTGTATCAGAAATTTATTGCGTTTAACGTCCCAATTAGGATATTCGACGATGTATGTTATTTGGATGAGCTGATGTGTGGAGGACTCTGACGCATGGAGAAGCTTATGTGCGGAGGATTCAGACGTGCGGAGAAGCTGATGTGCGGAGGTCTCTGATGCACGGAGAAGCTTATATGCGGAGGACTCTGACGCACGAAGAAGCTTATATACGGAAAAGCCGACGTGCGGAGTTCTTTGACGCACGGAGAAGCTTATGTGCGGACGACTTTGACGTGCGGAGGAGCTGACGTGCGGAGCACTCTGACGCACGGAGAAGCTGACTCTGATTTCTTAAATTGTCGATATGTTTACATCCTCGGTCTCCTTCCAATTTATTCCTTTTAGCATCAAGATCAGCTGGTGCGCAGTCGTTCGTTTTTTCCGTTGTTTTTAACGGAGCGGCATTAGCCAGGTAGATGCCTATGGCTTCAGGGCTCGCGTCGCGCCACTGTGTTTTCTGCGCATGCGCGGCCGCCGCAGAAGTGGA